GCCTGTGCTTCGTATCGAGAATTGGACACGAAGCCCCCCCCCCCCCCCCAAACTGGACAAGTAATCTCGTTGTAATGGTCGGCCTTTGAAATTGAAATTTCCGAAGTTGCACATCGAGGGAGGGAACGGTGGTTGAGCTTGTTGCAGAGAGGGAGAGCGAGCGTAGATAATACAATGATCTCTGCAATGATATAACAATAAGAGCGAATCTACTGGCTCTCACCGTGCAAATAGAAATCAGCTCTGAAGCTGCTTTATTTCATCGGCTAAAGTTAATTAAAACACGGCCCCCGCGTCACCCGATCTGCGCTTCAAAATATGCAAATAAACTCGCTCTCGGTGTCGAAGCGACAAACAGCAAATTGCAAAAAGGAGAAAAAAAAACGAAAAGAAAAGAAACGGGAGATTCGTGGTGAAATAGGGGAGGAAAGTCGTCGCGAGGGAGATTAAATCGAAGACGACGAAGGCCCAGAGACGAGAAGCGTCGGTGCACGAATCACGGGAACGGCGGCGATTCTTTTGGAAAGTTTTCAACCCTTATCCCTGGGAGAGGCGGAGACGTTCGTCTGCATGGAAATCAAAGGTGAATCACGTCGGCTGGCGGCGCTACCGCCACCGTTGTATCAAAGCCCCTTTTGTTCTCCGGTAGGAAAAGTCGTTGAAGTGGTTTCGTCGTACGAAAGTGGAGAGGCGGAGACGCGAGTGCAATTTGGGATCGACGCGACAGAGTTTTCGAATTCGTCGTTGACGAATTTCGTTTCAAAGGCTCCTCTCGCTTTTCTCGTGTAGGATCTCTCGTTAGTCGCGCTTTGTTTTCCAAATGTCCACTCGAGCTTGCCGCATGGACAGAAGCGAATTTTTAATCTCCGTGTCGCGAGAATGTCGAGAGAAATTCTTCTCAATCGGGACAGAAATCGTTCGGGAAAGGGGACGATTTAAGGAGGGAAGAAACAGCTTGGTACGTTCTCACGCGGAATTTCATGCTTTTGACAGTAATTGAAATGTATTTCCCGGTTACGGTTACGGGGGAGGGAAAATATGGTTGGATTTTTTCCCCTGGACGTTCAGGTTTGCCCGATAACGCCGCCGCGGTATCTCAACGGTAACGGATGCGAAATTCTCACCGTGCCAACTTTTCCCCGCGATTTTCCCTTCTCCTCCTTCATCGTTCCCACGAAAATTTATGCGAGACGCGAAAACTTTCCGCTGACGATGGTAGTATTTTTCTCCTTGGTTCCCATGAGAATCACGAAGCGCTTTCCCCGTACTTTACAAATAGAAAAGTAAATAGACATTGAGGACGATGAAAATCATGCTGCCCAAAACAACTGTAAGATCCACACTTGCTAGAGTGAATCATTCTCTAGGCATTACAGCGATCTAAGTCCCTGTATTAAGTCCCTGTGACGTGTTTGAAGTCGATTGGGAAACTTCCCGGAAGTTAACGTTTCACATCTTAAAATAATCCAGCCACATTTCTCCCTGTAATCCCTCGTTCGGAAAATGGAGCAAACTTTATGGGCGGACTCGTCTAATCTCGAGGAAATTTGTGCTTGTTGGTAACTGTAATTGAATCCGTAATGTGTTCACTCTGCCGTGAACAACAACGAATCTCGTCAATAAATTCCAACCGTGCACGCGGGCTACTGAGACTGTTGAGACTACCGAGAGCTTTTGGAGTAAAAAATTTCGCGATACCAACCGGAGAAAAAAAGAGAGAAAGAGAGAAAAGGAAAGAGAGAGAGAGAGAGATCAGTCGTCGCGAGTTTCTTACCAACAGCCCGTGGTAACTCAATCGTCTCTATCTAGTTTCGCTTGGCGTCTCTCTCTCGAGTTTTTCCTCGAAGAGGAAAGGTTTCTTCGCTCGCGTCTGCAGCTAGAAGGTGAGACAGATCAAAGAGAGGTGGCTGATAAATTTTCTCCGGCGACTTATAATAAAGCAACTCGCTCCGCGCTTTCTCTCGTGAGCGCGTCTTACTCTTGCTGCTGCTCGAATTACTTCCGTCTTCGTTTCGCTTTCGTGAGTCGCTACTCGGATCCCGAGGACTGGCTCGTCTTCCTTTTCGGCTTCGAGACCCCTCATCTCGACCCTTTTAGAGGCAAACTCGCTTCAAATTGCCCCTGGAAATCTCATTTCCACCCTGCTGCCTCCTTCCGCCCCCTGCGAGGCCGATTCTTTGCCGAAAAAAAGAATCACACGACGCTCGTACCAAACAAGGCTATGGACCCTTCGTGCACCCTATGTCGTGTGCTCGAGTGACACCAGCAGAATGAGAGGGTTTACGAACTTCTGCAGGTGAAAGAGGAAAAGTCGAGGGTTTGAGGGTGCAAGCATGCAGATGAATGGAGATCAGAGAGAGAAAGTGAGAGTGTATGTGTGTGTGTGTCTTCTGCCACTCCCTTCGAGATCACCTCGTCGATAAGGGTGACGTTCTGGAAAATTGTAGTTTGCCTAGTCCTATCTATTTCAGGTTCTTTCGCTGGTTCGTGTTTATTGAATAACCGCCAGGACGACCGAGCGCTCTTTGCAGTTGTTTCCTAATTCGTTTAAGATTGAAAAACGAAGATTCATTTTCCTCTTTGCCGTGAGATATCCGTGTTTCTCGTAAAGTGCAACGACGAAAATTAATACATATCGTAGAAACGTATAATCGAGAAACAAACGGCTGAACATTGTTTCCTTTTTCTTTTTACACTCGACAAAAGTTGATTTAGCAAAACAGAAACCGGTAATGAATGCATGGAACTCGGCCAAAGGTATCGCGGTACAAGGAAAATAGAGAAAAGAATTCTGCGAGAATAGCTGAAGAGTTGGCTAGAGTCGTTTGAAAGGGGAAGAGAGTTTCGAAAGCATTGAGAGTTATATTTCGAGAGTATTGTTGTTCCATAATAATGGTTGTTCACATTCCTATAAATGGCGATCCGTGTTGTAATTTTTATGTTAAGAATTCATTGAAACTCTCTTTTGACAGGGAAAAATTCTTGCTTACTGTTTAATAATATGTCCAAGGTACTATTGAAACTCTTAGTAGAGAGAGAAAGATACATTCATTTCATATTTCGGACAACGAATAATTTTGTACTTGGACTGATTAGTGAATCAATTTTAGATTCTTCTTTTAATGAATATTTTACATTTTTAACTTATTCTAGTGTACGATAATTTCAGCAAAAAAATATATAATTATATACATGTACGATTGTTATATTAATATTACTAGCTGTAATTATGCTATTATAATATTTATAATAATTGCAAAATTATAACATTTTTACGTATATTTATTTTACAATTCAATAACCATTGGATTGCGGATTTTTATACAAGTAACATTTAGAGAAGGGAAACTAAATAGAAAATTGTCCCCTCCATTAGTTATCAGTATCGAACTTTTATTTTGTATTCCGTTGCATGCATGCACTCCGTGCATTTCTCTATCTTCAAATTTTTTCCAAACGCATAAAAATCTGCAGTCTAGTTGTATATTAATACGAGAAAGACCAACGGCCGCAGTCTTCAAGCGTACATTCTCAATGTCTATTTTACAAATTCACAATAGTTACAATACGTGAGTAAGAACGAGTAACAGGATTTTTCGGAGGTGAAAAATTTTCACGCAATTAGAAGCGGTAGCGAGTCGCGTTAAAATTAAATGCTGCCCGATTAATTTTCGTTGATAAAATATTCGCCAACGGCTCGGCTCAGTCGCTCAGTCTCAAGATGGAATTTAATTATGCGAGTTAGCTTTGGCCGCGTTGGTCACACCGCCGTTTCCGCCGTTTTCCCCGCTCTAATAGGCTTATTAGTTTGTTATTCGTAACTCGACGCCGCGCCGCTGCCCCGGAAGTTACGCCTCGACCACCGCGTGTGGTCCGCGTTAATTGAGTATCACTTCATCTCGCGTGTGCGCCTCCTTTATTCCTCTGGATCTCCGCCGAGTGAAGTAATTTGTTACCTCGCCGCGTGCACATTGCGCCGCGTAAGTAGCTTTCTCTCTTTCTCTCTCTCTTTCTCTCTTTCTGCCTTTATTTCACACTTGCTCTCGCTTTCATACGTGAAGAACAATATCCACATTCTTCTAAAATGACTGATATTATTAGACTGGACAATTTTAAATCATATCTGCTAGTTGAAAGGAATCCTTGTTTAGATTTCATTTTCCAATTGTGTTCGTAATATATAAAAATTGTGTTCAATTGATATGATCAATGTGAAAATGAATATAATTTCGTCAGAGAATTTTTCGTTGTATTTATAAAAAATTCTCAATATATATATAATAATTATTATAAATATTATAATAGTATAATTACAGCTAGTAACATTAATATATGTTTAATTGTTATTAATTTAATTATTGTTAATATTTATTAATTTATTATAAATTTAATATTAATATGTATATATAATTATATATTTTTTTTGCTGAAATTATCGTATATTAAAATAAGTTAAAAGTGTAAAATATCATTATATATATACACACACACACGAATCGCAAAATATAAAACAATTACAAGTGAATATTTTCATATTTTAAGAATGAAGGGGTGAAGATTTATAATTGTACGAAGAATTCATGAGGGATGTCATGAGGGATTCCTTTTGCTCCATTTACAAAAAATTCACAATCATTCTTTGATCTCAAATCGCGAAATGTAAAACAATTGAGAGTGAATATTTTCAAGAATGAAGGAGCAAAGATTTTCAGTTACACAAAGACGGGAGAAATAAAAGTCGCGGCGATTACATTAGGAAAATAAAAATTGTCCGCTCGACAAAGAGACCTCTGGTCCTTGGTGTTTGTTTTTGAGAAGGGGTTAATTATGCGAAAGAATCGTCGACAAGCGTGTGACGTTTTATGTGAGCAACGCGCCATTGCAAACGTAAGTCTGCCTGTTTAGAAAACCATCGGCTAATCCACTTAACCTTAAAACGCTGAAATTCTCGTTTACGTCGACGGAAGATTGATAGAGGGATTGTTTTGGTCTTTTTTCAGGAAGTGGCTGAACGCCCGTGGGACGACGCGCGACTCGCAGCGTGGAAGCAGAAGGGAGAGCGAGGCAGCTCCAGAACGACGACAACAACGACGACGACGACGACGACGACGACAACGACGACGACGACGGGGGAGTGTGATTGAATAACCGTGGAAACTTAAGCAGAGATTCTGGGTCAAGGTGAGTCTCCTTCCTTTCGTCTCGGACAGACGAAATTTCATTCTTTCGTTTGGCGCTCGGTACTGACCCCTCGCCGGGGTTTCTTTATTATGATTCCATAATACCGCTTTGACGGCCCGCGCCACAGAAATGGGAATTAATTGGCGAGGAATTTTTCTTTCTGAAGAACGTCCTCTCCTCTACTCGGCGTTAAACCTCGGAATTATCGTTTAAAGTGGGAAAGAAGCAATTCCCGGCGGACGGTTCAGTTTTATTTAATCGAAGTGGAAAAAAAAAAAATCCTCCGCGAGAACGAATGACGTTAGCTTCGCGGTACAATTTGCAGTGAAGCATTTTCCACGGCCGCGCCATTAGTCGGAGATTTCTTGCAACTCGCCGGAGAAATACTCGAGAGGAAACAAGGGACAAACTTGCGAATAAATTTTGATTGCCAGTTACCGAGTGAAAGGAGGCTGTAACGGCGGCCGTTGTTTCTGTTGCTAATTAATTTCGACTCGCCGATTCCTCGAGGAAAGTTTGAACGAGAAGGTCCGGCTGTAATTTCTCGCAGAACGTAACCTTAAATGAGGTAGAGAAAACAACGAGAGAGAGAGAGAGAGAGAGAGAGAGAGAGAGAGAGAGAGAGAGAGAGAGAGAAGCGTGCCGCGGAAATCCTAGAAAGGACCTCCAGGGGTCAGATAGCACGTTGGCGACGGCATTTCAAGTTCGTCTAAGCAGAAACAGAGTCGTTTCCGAGTTAACTCGGATTAATTCTGAAAGTTCCATGAGGTAACCCTCGAAGGGTTGGACCCACGGTGTCGAGTTTCCGCCTGACGGGATCTCAGGGGGGACGGTTATTAAATTTTGATACTCGTGGATTCCTGACTTTCCATCCTGACAAACTTGCGCCGTTTTCCACGGCCACGCGGCCGATACTGTTGTTGAAACATTTGGAATAATTTCGAGGATGGAAAGTTCCTGGAAGCGCGGAACCAGAGGAGAGTTTCATTCCCGCGTTGCTGGCGAATTTCACGACGAATCAGTCTTTTAATCCGAGTTTTTCCATTTTGTACCCTCCGATTTTTTCCAAACTTTCGAACTCCAAGTCTTACCGATCTCGGGCACACTTTTCGTACACACTTCGTCCCTTTCCGAACTTCGAATCTCCCGATTTACGAATGTTCAAACTTAGCGATTTTCAATTTTCCAAATTTACGAACTAAAAGTCAGTGTAAAAAATTCGAATGCAGCAGTGTTGAAAATGGGAGATTTCTTTTGTTTTTTTTTTTTTTTTTTTTTATATCGACGACGCTGTTAATTCTACAGGTTTCGCGGACAAGAAACGGAGCAGATGCTAAAATCCCCTAGAGTCACAGGGCTCGCACGGTGTGTATGCACGTGAATTTTGGCGGAGCGAAATTTCAGACCTGAAGATTTCGTTGAACTAATACCCGTGGGGCAAGAAATTTCAAACAAGATCTTCTCGTCGCCACCAGAAATTAATCCTTCGCGTGCAACAGATGAGACTGCTGTACGTGGAACTTTGCTCGTCGTTTAAACGATACCCAGACATCAGCCGAATAATTGGGAAAACGATTTACAAGATTTCGATATATAAATTCTCCGTCCAATAATTAATGGATGATTCTTTGCGACGTTTAGCACGATGGAAAGTTCCTCGCGAAGTTTCCCGAAAAATATGAAAGTTCAGATCAGTTCAGATATACGTTGGATTTTATTTCACGAGCGTTCCTCAATTTCCGAAGGGAATTCCGATCACTTTAGAAATTGCTCGGTGAAATATATTAGCCTCACGAATACGAGAGAAAAAGTTTCGAGACCGAGACAAACGAACGGTGAATTTTTTCCAAGCGACTCTAGAAAAATCACCACAACCGGATCTGACTAATGAGATCATTTTCATTGCTTTCTTTCTCCCGGTTTGCTCGTGTGGCTTGCTTTATCGCTTTGTCGCTTTGTCGACAAAGAGAGCATTCTCACTCTTTCCATTTATTTGTTTGAGAACTTCATAACTGGGCGTAATTTCTCTCTGTTGTTACATATAATATCTTTACACACTGACGACAAAATGCATTATTCTTCGCACTGTCGCGCGACAGCATGACAGTGTTTTTCCCTCAGAACGATATCAGACGACAAACGTCGACGCAAGAACTACTTCTCCGTGACGTGAGTCTCGTTCGAATTCCAGGATTTCATTTAATTTCCTTGCCTCCTATCTGTCATATCAAACTGTCGTTTCGTTTCTCCGATCGCGTAGGGGGAGCTTGGTTTTCCCCTCGCACAGTCGAAATCGCCTCGAATCGTCCTACTTAGGAAATCAATGAGTCCACAGTCTCCCGTTACATTATTTCCACTGCAGTTGCCATCCCCGCGACATTCGCAACATTTATTGCAATCGTTTTAATTAAAATTATCCTCGCGTCTCTCTCAAAATTCCATTAATCCCCGTTAAAATTACCAAAATTTTAAACAGCTATACTTTGGTGCGTGGTTTTACCTCTTTGTAAATCGAATGGAGTCCTTCCCCTTTAAAACCGTTTTTCGTTTCGTCGCGGCGCGACTTCCGGTTCCTGTGATATCGCCCGTTGCGAAGCCAACCTTAATTTCTCGCGTTTCACTCTGTCTCTTTCGCGCGTTTTTTCTTCCACCTGACCTGGCCCCAAGCTCGCGCCGCGTGCGCTGGTCAGTGACAGACGCTGGCTCGACAGTTTTTCTTTTTTTCACTGTTGCTGGAACTCGGTACGCATTTCCAGGAAGAAATGTGGGTCACGCTGCATTCAAGAATTCGGGCGCTCGGACACCTGCGCTTTGAACGCCCGTATCTCAGCAACCGGGCCAGATATCGAAATGAAACGGAAAGAATATCAAAGGGCGCGCAACTCGCTACGTCCTGAGTGCACGTTCTTTGAGAAACACGACGTCTTTCTCGTTGGAAATATGCCATTGTCTTGGACGGGTTTGAGCAAATCATGGCCGTGATTGAGGTCTCCGAATTGTTCGTCTTGCGACACGTTTACGACTTTATCGAGAGATGAAAATTGTCTCCGAATTGAGACACAATCTCTAAACCCAGTAGCTGATCACTAAATGGCACAGCGTAGGCAAAAATGTTCAAACGGCGTGTCATTTAGCGATTAAATTGTTGAATATGGAGATTGTATTTAAATTTCTTTCTATTTTGTATCTTTCGTGGAATACTTTTTATATTTTCTGTTTCTACATTATTTCCTTCCACTTCGTGTTTTTCTTTCTCCTTTCTTTATATTTAGAGAATTCTTTGCAGGGTGAAGGGAGGAAATACGAAGGCAAAACGCGCTGAAAGGGAGGAGAGATACGAAGTTTGAAAAAAGAAACTTAAATTCTAAGAGGAAAGAGGAGAGATAAAAGTTGCAGGTTTCACGTATTTCTAGTTACGTTCTTTCTTTGTTCTACTTTCGAATTAACATTTACAACTGTCCGTAAATAATATTTCCTTCGTTCTTTCGTCACGATTGCCAAGTAGCGGGAACTTTGTAGAAACAAAATAATTACGCAGAGATCGTTCACGAATGGCCAATTAATCTCGTTGGTACGTGTAGCTGTATTCGATACGATTGAAAACGTGCAAGAGGATCGGGATTTTTTGATAGTACAATTTGATTTTCATAGTGGTAGGTCGAATGAGAATCTTGTTTCTCGTCGAAGGTCCGCGTAGCTCTTTCTCTCTTTCGTTAAAACGACGTTAGACCCCTCACTTACGGGATATACGCAGATATTCGCTCACCCTCGTGAAATTGCTCATGAAAGCTCGCCGTACGTAAAACCCTTTGCAGCCAGCGAACGTCGAGAAACAAATTTCTTTCTTTTTCTTCTCTTTTATCTCTTTTTTCGAAAAGCTGTTGCGGCATTTGGCGTTTGCCTAGCTTGCTCCCCTCTCTCTTTCTCTCTTTCTATTTTCTTCGTAAAATAACGCAGGACAGATCAGGATAACAAACCGGAAATAGCCAATCGGATTTTAAAACGGGACACGATTCAATCCCGACGTCGAAAAACTCTCGTCGTGTGAAATTCGACGAATTTATTCGAGGTTAATGTACATCGTTTATATACCAATCTCGCCCCTGATTCGCAACGAATTTCTCTTCCTCGCTGTTTATCGTTCGTTCCGGCTGATTCACGCGATACGTATTCATGAAAAATCATGCTCGCGGCCCCGCGAAAAAAATGGAACTTTTTTTCATCCAACGTCGACTGATTTGTGCGTGGCGGACGGGCCGAGCCAGGCGCGTACATCAAGCGTGGTTTATCGCGAAACGGCGGTGGGTCGATAGGGCAGATACAGTCATTACAAATGGAACAGCTGATAACACCACATCCTCCCGCGTGTCGTGTGTATGTATGTGCGTGTGTGTAAATTTCCAATTTTCGGCACTGGCTTCACGTAACTTTGCTCTACTTTCGCGCCATCCTCCCCTCCTGTCGCGTCTCTAACCCCTAACTCACCGAAGATATATTACACGGCAGAGTGATACGATACTTTGAACACGTGGCTCAGCTAAGAAGACAAAGATCCGTTTCGAACGACTCGTTCCAACCGGAGACCGACCGATAACGACGACAGTTTGTAAGTTTAGTCGCTGTTCGGACAGAACGTTGCACCGATCTCGCGTTTCTGAAACGAAACACGTTCCAATACGATGGAAACGACTGAGAAGAATATGTACTTTACACGCGAAAAAATTATACAGAGTGTTTCGTAAAAGTATCATGTAAGTATCTGTCTTCGTTTAAGAGATATAATGAATTTTCTGTTTCAATTACTTTCACAAAAGATGCTCGAAATGACCACCGTTGCATTTGAAGACAAGCCTGCACGCGTCTTGTCATTGATTTGGTTACACTCTCTATCATTCCTGGTGTTTCTCGAATTTGTCGGAAGTCTTGCTCTATTCTATTTCGTAGTATTTCAGCATTTTCTTCGATCAATGTTGCGTATACGATAGATTTTAAATGTCCTC